TTTATGATTTACTCTTTTCACTATCACTGCACTATTTAAAAATAATTTCGGATATCCAAATTCACACTTATAAACTGTATATTCTAGGTTTCTATTTCCAAGCACATAGCCAGATTCAATAACTTCTTAAGAACTTGACACGGATGGCATTTAGAATTTTTTCTTTTCATATTATGCTTTATGCTGCTTTTTAGATTTTTATGAAATATCTTTCACATGGGATCTACAACTTACCTGTGATGATAAAAAAGAATACTTCTATATTTACAGCAACATCTCATATTTTTGTGGTATAAAATTTTCGTGTTTTAAGGTAAAAAATAGTTCAAGGGGATTTGTGTTTTTTTTTTTTTTTTTTTTTTTTTGTTGTTGTTGTTACATATTTGAGATTTTACATTGTGTGGAGCTATTGAATTTTGAACTTCATTCCAAAAAAAAAAAACGAAAATTACCCCACCCCATCCCAAAAATTAATGATTTCATAGTACTGTTTTGTAAATTACAATTTTAGAATCTTAAGACATCTCTTTCTTACCCAATCTGCCACTTTCCTTAAATTTTTTGCCTACCTTATCTAAAATTTTCCCTTTTCAATCATGAAAAATTTGCCAGGCTCCCCTTTTCTTCATTTTTACATATATGTTATATTTTTCTTTTCTTTTTTAACCAGAGATATTTGACAGTTTTCCATTTTCTATCTTGAAGGATTGACAGCTTTTTTTCTATCCTGAACGCTTTCCAAGTTTTCCCTTTTTCTATTTGAAAGATTTGCTAGGTCCCCCTTTTCCTTAGAATTTGTCAGATTCTCCTTTCCCTCTCCCATTTTTACTTTCCCACCTTTCCAGGTTTTACAACTTTCCCTTTTCCCTTTAGGATTTCTTAAGTTCTCCTTTTCTATCCTTAATGATTTTTCAGTGTCCACCTTTCCAACCACCTCCAGTATTGCTCCTTTACCCTTCCATATAATCTGCTAGTGTTCTCTTACCACTGAATTTCTTTCTAAAACAGAGATACACGTGAGGGATAATGCTGAGGGGAGGGACCAAGGCCGTCTTGTTGTCAAACTCCATGGTGAGGAAGTACATCTGGAACTTCCAAATCTCGTTAGATTTCTCCTCAACCTTGGTGAAGATATGGCTGGAGAAAAGGAAGAGTAAATGAAATCATGTCATATAGAGGTAGACTTAATTTCAACATTTTATCCATTATCTTGACAGAGTACATGAAATCTATGGAGATAACAACAGTATTCGAGCTCAAAAGTCAATCAAACAATACAAAATAGAAGCAGAGCAAACATGAAACTCCAAAACACAGAGGTGGGAAAACTGAAGTGTATATTTTACCAAACAAATCCCTCTACTATTTATATTTAAAAATTTTTTAATCAATATAAAATAATAAATAAGCATCAATTTTTAACCTTAAAACTTTAAAACGGTAGCTGTCTGTACATTTAGGTTTACAGCAGTAAACTGGACTCACTTGAAGATGGCAATAAGAAGATTAAAGAGTAGTAAGTTCCCCATGATAAGGTAGCCGGCACACAGGATGTAAACAAGCCAGTACTCTTTCTTACACTTGGCCAGCGCCACCACATGCAACATTGTGCTGTTAAACTTCATTCCATTCACATCTTCCACACAACCAGTTTCACCTGAAACATAATTTATATCAAGATTAAGAAGATAATAAATTCAGGGCCAGTTGTGATTTTAACAAAAACGAACAAAATGTTTACTCTATCGTACAAGATTCAGTACTTAGTAAATATTTCAAAAACTAATAACTACCGTATATACTCGCCTATAAGTCGGTATTTTGGGAGTCAAATATTGGTTCAAAACTCTATGTCCGACTTATAGGTGAGTCATAAATAGATTGGTATTTTTTTTGGAGGCTAAAACGTTGTATCTTATTTTCATTTCCAACGATTATCAAAGAAAATGTCTGGATATATAAGATGTTTTATGTATTCTTTGATTATGTATATTTATAAAGTACAAGTATTTACATATTTTGATAATTTTATTTGTATTTTAAGTGACATTGCCTTTATGTTTAATAATATAAGATTTAATATCAGTGTCATTTTGAAAAATATTAATTGAAACAGGGTTAAAACATCAATGGATTTACTTGAAATTGTCACCAGACTTTGGCAAAAAAAATTGTACCGACTTATAAGCGGGTCAATAGCAAATCTCACCAAAATAACGTCAAAAAATACAACCGACTTATAGGCGAGTATATACGGTAGTTTAGTTTTAGAGGATTGAAAACGGCAATGGGTTTCATTAGATATAATATGGAACGTATCCAGTGAATGTATGTAAATAATTAAAAACTTAGAATGTTATCAAAGCTAATTCAATGGTGAATTTCACTATCAACAATTTCATTGAAGCCAATCACAGGTACTTGTGGACAGGACCCCCCTTCCCCTCCCCAATATATGAATCCTAGCTTGTAATTTTTTTTTTTACAATTTATATTTACTAGTATTAAGCTTCCTTTTCATGCATACAATACGAAAAAATTAGTTAAAACTCCAGATTACCGTTCCTTACAAAAAATACCCCTTTATAATCTCCCTTATTGTGTACAGAATTTACAAGTTAGGGGTCATATATTAAGGGGGAATCCTGTCCACAAGGACCTGTGAAGCCAATAATCTTTAACTCCTCATATTTTAGCCATATTTTGTGACTATCTCAGAGTTTACGCTTACTTAAATTTGTCTTAAAATAAAACTCAGTATTAAAACACTTTCTATTTAAATAACCAGATAGGTAAGTTATATTTTGATATATTTTTTTTCAAAACCTTGATTTTTTTTTATTTGTATTGACTATATAATTAGCTATGTTTTTATATTTTGGTATTGTTCTTATATATTGACTTACTTTCAATAGATTTGTCAAACTCCAATTCTCCATATAGCTCCCAGTATGGATAAAACACAATGTCTTTAATAAGAATAATGATATCCTTTATACATGATACATTTTTCTGTCTGTACAGCAGTGATTGGCTGGCGACGCCATAAGCCAAGAGAAAGACCATCACAAGCAAGAGAAACGTACACAATTCCTCAAACTAAAAATCACCAAAGGTTCAATAAATATAATTATTAAATGTAAATCAAAGGTCCGAGTCTTTCGAATAAATCTTGAAATTAAAGGAACTCACACATTATAAGTATCTTCTTTTTTACTACTTCACTTTTCTTTATCTAGTTTGTACATGAAATTTAGCTGAACACTACTCTTGAAAGGCATTGACCGCCATATTTCTTTTTCATCGCCGCTATTCAAACAACCACTATATAAGCCAAAGACTTTTTAACAGTTCAAAGTATTTCTCTGTAGAGGTCTCACCTGAGAGGACGTACATCTTATTTGTCGTTTTAATTGGTCACAATGAAATTATCAATTGTTACGCACTTTTTTCGAGCCAGGAGAAAACTAACATTAAACAAGTTATTGATTTATTTTCGTTAAAAATTTGCACTTAAAACAATGAATAAACGCAAAGAAATCTGAGGCCACGAAAGGAATACTACAACAGCATGACTACGTTGGGCCAACGTTGGTCAATGGTTGTAGTGGTGGTCGATGGTTGGCGTTGGGTATGCTATGTTGGGCCAACGTAGGGCCAACGTTACATTGTCAATTTTCTCTATAGTACCCAACCATGTTGGTATCCTTACATTGGCCCAACGTTGGCCCAACGTTAACCAGCACATACTTGCTATCTTTTTCAATGAAGGTTGGATCCTTACGTTGGCCCAACGTTGGTACAATGTTAACCGACTTCTGTTTGCTCTATTTTCCAAGGAAGTTGGGATTCATACATCGGCCCAACGTTGGGCCAACGTTGACCGACTCTTATTTGGTATCTTTTCCAAGGAAGTTGGGATTCTCACGTTGGCCCAACGTTGGTCCAACATCATCCGATTTCTATTTGCTCTATTTCCGAGTAAGTTGGCACTTATACATTGGCCCAACGTTGGTCCAACGTTAACTAACCAATATAAGCTATATTTTCTATATAGGCACGAATTCGTATAATTTGTAATTGCATTCCTAAAGACATGCCTATTCAAGCTAGCAGTACGTTGGACCAACGTTGGCCCTCCATAAACACGAGTATTCATACCTTGGACACATGATTATTGTTAATTGGTCCATAAATTAAATATATATGATGTACAATGTAAGTTTTGAGGTAATGATGTACATATACAAGTTAGTAGAAGTACGTTTTTTTATAATATAAGCCCAGTCTGCCTAAGACTACTAATGTTAAGATATTGTGCATCTGCTTAATAACTGATAGCAAAATGGCGATTTGAACTTAATTTATTGAAAGGAAAAATGTTTTAAATAAAAATGTTCTCTGTTCTACACACTTTGTAAAGCAGATATAGTTATGAAATGTTGCATTCAAGTTCAGATACCATCCAGTCTGTTGATTTCTTATACAATTTATAATTCCATGAGTGTATTATAACGGGGGAAAATAACTTAAGACAAAATTGAGAGTTACCCTACAACAGTTTACATAATATAGAATTTGATGACTAATTGGAAAATATTCCCAGAGACAGGATGCGAAAAGAGGTAAAATACACATAAATCAAGATAACGTTTCTAACCAGCTTTATAATTGCATTGAAACAAAACACTAAACCGAGAGAGTCGCAGCGATTTAAATGGTGATGCTGTCAAATTTAATTACCCACATGTGGATGTTTCACTCAAAACGCGGGCAAGTAAGAGAAAGGGAAATTCAAATTCTATGGATTAAACAACAGTGTGTCTGAAAAGAGATGTAAGTAAAAATATTTTCATAATCAAATAATATATATATTAAGAGAAATTTATTGTGTTTAAAAGCTAGAATGTAAATTAAATAATGGTTAGTTTGTGATATCTAACTTGTTTTGTTTGTAGGTAAGCTTCTCCTAACTTTCAAACCATTGTATACTCATTGTATCTTTTAAATATTGATTTTAATATTTGAATTTGGAACATTCATTGATCTTGCATTTGTATAGTCATTTGTTTAGTCATTTGTATTTGTACTTAATAATCATGGCAACACGAGGATCGTCATATTGGTCTATTAGACGACAGGTTAGAAAAAATCTTGAGGGACATTTTCTAGATATAAGCACTATGAATTCAGAATTACAAGCTACAAACTCAAATGCATCAGATTTGATTCCCGAACCTGTATCTCATGATTTTCAAAATAGGGAGTGTTTGGATACAAGGGCGGGACTGAATCCTGAAGGCACTAGTAATAATCAAGGGGAAACTGATTTTGAGAGGGAAAATGATACTGATCATGGTCACGTTGATCTTGAAACGCTTTTAGACAATCAGTTCTATTCTGATAAGGAGTCTGATTCTGAGTTAGAAATTAATCAATGTGAAGAGATTTCTGAGGAACTAAGAAAGTGGGCTGTTGAACACCAAGTTCCCAATGTTACTATTTCTGATTTAATAAAAATTCTTAGAAAATATCATCCTTCACTACCTAAGGATGCACGAACTTTGTTAAATACGAAAGTAAATTACTTAATTCCAAACAAGTGCGGGGGACAGTATTACCATTTTGGCTTATCTGTAACTGTGACTCAACAACTCAGACTCAATTCATTAATTGACACTTTACCCGATCAACACTGTTTAAAGATTCAAATAAATATAGATGGTTTACCATTATTTAAAAGTACAAGTGATCAATTTTGGCCAATTTTAGGGAGGTTTACAAACATTCCGATTAAAAAGCCATTTGTTATTGCTCTCTATTACGGTCATTCCAAACCAGAAAATGCCAATGAATTCCTTGAAGAATTTGTGAATGAGTATTTGGAAATACAAAGAAACGGACTTCAGTGTTGTGGTAAAGTTTTCAAAATTTTGATTGATTCAGTAATATGTGATTCACCAGCTAAAGCCTTTGTTAAATGTGTCAAATCTTATTCTGGTTACCATGGCTGTGATAAGTGCACTCAGAATGGGGTCTGGGAAGGTAAAATGACATTTCCAGAAACCAATGCCCCTCTCAGAACTGATTATTCTTTTGAAAGGAGACAAGATGAAGACCATCACAAGGGAATTTCTTGTCTGACTCGAATTGAGATAGGGATGGTCTCACAAATACCCATTGATTACATGCATTTGGTTTGTCTTGGGGTCGTAAAAAGATTACTTCTTCTGTGGATAAAAGGTCCTTTGAAGTGTAGACTTGGGTCAAGGGTCATTGAGCAAATTTCGTCTTGTTTAATTGACTTAAAACAAAGTATACCATCAGAGTTTGCAAGAAAACCCAGATCTTTAAAAGAAATAGATAGGTGGAAAGCGACAGAATTCAGGCAGTTTTTGTTATATACAGGTCTAATTGCTCTTTACGGGACCATTCACCAAAATATGTATAAAAATTTTTTGCTTTTGTCTGTAGGAATGCATATCTTGTTGAACGAAAGACTTTGTCAAGAATATAATGTATATGCAAATGACCTGCTTGTTGCTTTTGTTTCCCACTTTTATGAAGTGTATGGGCGTGATATGGCAGTCTACAATGTGCATGCATTAGTTCATTTGGCAAATGATGCCCATAAATTTGGCAGTTTAGAAAATATTTCAGCGTTTCCTTTTGAAAATTTCTTGTCAAATTTAAAGAGAATGGTACGGAAACCAGAATTCCCATTGCCTCAAATCATTCGTAGGCTTTCAGAGCAAGCAGACACAAAAAAAGAACAAAAATTATACCCCAAATTAACAAAAAGTCATAGTAATGGACCTGTTCCAGATACCATCATAGATGGTCATCAGTTCCATAAGGTAGAAACAGAAAAATATGTGTTAAAAACAAAATTTAAGGACAGCTGTGTACGAATAAATGGAAAAGTTTCTTTGGTGAAAAATATTGTATTATCTGATGATGATAAAATTTTTGTAGTTTATCAATCGTTTCAACAAATGGAAAACTTTTTTACTGTTCCCTTGGAGTCAAATCTGCTAGGAATTGTAATAGTTTCTAATCTGGACAACAACATTCAAGTTTCTAAGCTATGTGACATAGATGCAAAATGTGTTATTTTGCCATTTAAAAATAAATATGTTGCTGTCCCCTTTACAGACGCAGTTTAATAACAAAGGAAATAATGCAGCTGTTAATGGCATGTCAGTTTTATTATGTAGAATTGAAAACACTTATTATGACTAGTTGTTGCTGTCTCTTGTAAAATTGATGTAAACTTATGCAAGATTAATTAATGTTAACATTATAAATTTCTATAAAGAAATTTGAAAACAATATGCAGGTCATCAGATTATAAGTATGCAGTGGTTGAATTCCCAGAAGAGGAAGAGGTTGAAGTGGTACCAATAGTGTGGCTGACATCAAAAGACACAAAATGTCGCTGGCCACCATATAGGTCTTCAGACAAAACAAAATTAGCTATCAAAGGGGCCATAGAACCTACAAGTGATTTTTTAACTCTTCCAGTGAGAGTTTTGAAAAAATACAGTAAGTTATTAGTAATCTTTGACTATTCAATTGGTTAAATTGATTTCCATGCCAATACATCTACATGTAAATTATGCATTTTGTTGATTTATCCATGCAGTCTAACAATAATATTGATGAATCTGATACCAAATGCCATATAAAAATAATTTTGTAAATTTGCATAAGTGATGGAAAGAGATAAATGTTATGTTTCTTTATTTCTTTTTAAGGTGATTATTTAGAGGCTCGAAAGCATTTGACAAAGGCAACATATACCTCAGATCTGCAAACTGATGCAGAAGAAGATAATGCTAGTGTTGCCAAAAAAAGATCTAAAAGGTATGTCAGTGTGCACGTACTTGTAAAATCATGTACATGTAAGTGTGTTATACTTATAGATATCTATTTAATTTACAATATGTATTAATCTAAATTTGGTAAATTCATGCATGGTTCATTTTAGAAGTTTTCTAGATCTGTTGTTATTTTATATGTATATAAAAAAAATCATTAAATATTAAGTTTATGATTTTAAAAAAAAATAAACATTGCATTAATTTGGAAATTATTTCTGAAATCAAATTACATGTATATGCAAACAACAATGTGCTATTTGATTAAATATTTTGAATTCAAATTTAGACCAAATCCTAGATTTCTCTCCTCGGACGAGTCAGAAGAGGAACCAGAAATGCCAAACATTCGAAGGAGGCAGTCTCCAAGAAAAAAGAGAGATGCAACAAATGTACCCCCGTTACCAGCTCTACCACCACCACCTTCTCCCCAAAGACAGGAGACCAGACAATCAGTTGACTGTCAGAGAGCAACCGTCAGTGGCAGAATACATGCCACAAGTTCTACTAGTTCTGGATCTTTCCCATCAGTAGAGCTAAATTCAACGTTCTTTGATAAAGGTCCCTATCCAACAACTACAACTGGTATGTGGATAATAAATGTATAAAATTTCATCTTTGAATTGAGATGAAGTTTATAGAAAATGAGCATCTCAAGGATAACAAAATTAAAATTACTGTATTTGGTCAAAAAACTAGGTGGATTTTATGATACATGTCAATTTGTTTTACCTTAGCTTTAGATAAGAAGATTCTTGAATGTATAGAAGAAGTAAAAGTACAAACGCATCACAACACCAAACTGCTTCAGGCCATTATGAAAAAGCTTGATGGACTGTCAGTGGCAGATGATGCTACAGAGGAGGGAGCAAATGAAATTAACATCAATTTTCCGCTGACAACAAAAGACATGCTTCTTGAATTAGAGGATAATCTGCAGAACGAAAACACTGTCAGGAAGTTGGTATGTAAATCATTTACAAAATTGTATATCTACCTCATTTACCTTGTTCAGTTGCTAGAATTATTTACAATATTTGGATTTTCTTAAAGGTTAAGTCTTTGAGTACCATTGGAGGTGAAAATGTGAAGAATTCTGTTAGACGCCTTTTGGGCCACATGATCTCCAGTGAATTAGCAAAGACCATTAACTGGGTTGGAAAAGGCGGAAAGATTGCCTTTTCAACATTGAAACTTAACAACGTTTTAAAAGGTATGTGTATATTTTAAAAAAAAAATGATATTTGCCTATTTGATACTGTCGGATAATTAAATTAAGTAACATGATAAGAAAAAGTAGGTATGCAAAACCTTCAAGTTTAATACATGAAATTTTGAATCAGTCATAAGGATTAATTATTGTTTATCAATTCGGATTAACTATAGTAGAATTTTTTGTGGGGGGTTAGAATAGATTAAAAAATATGAGTGAATAATATTCAAACAATAATTAAGGAACATAGGTGTTAAGTTGATTTACTGATATTACTATTTTATTATAACAGCTACCATACGGAAAAATAGACTTTGTGCAACATCAACTGATTCTGAAATAGCAGTTATTGCAAAAGATTGGTTTAGATTTGCTGGTGACAGGGATGGAGGCAGGAAAAAAAGGGAAGAAATAAGAAAGGCAAAAGTTGCAGAAGAAGGCCGAGAGCAATCAGCTGTGGCAGAACCTGCAAGTGACACTGAACTTTAATATTTTAAAGGCAGCAGTTATGTACATTGATCATACACCAGCTATCGTTCTAGAGACTCTCATATTTTAATTTTAATCCAATAATTATTTTAAAATTGCATTCATACAGAAAACAGGATAAAAATAAATTTGTAAATTTATCAGAATTTGCCTTGCAATTGATTTCGAATTTTGAAACTGGTCTATTTTTGGTCCCAAATATATGTTAAATCACTGTTGATTTATAGATGTTGGACACTTTTTCATATTGGCAATGGATTAGTAGAGAAAATATCTCGAGCTATAAAAATACTGCGCATTGATTAATGGACACAGAATCATCATTCAGCCAAGACAAGAATGGAATGAAGAATTGGGCCATTGTTAGAACACTGTTGGCTAATGGTTATTATGCCATTGTTGGGTAGATGTTGGGCCAACATAAAACATAGATGGGCCATTGATGGGCCATCGTTGGGCCTTCATTGGTATAATCATTGTTGGTTGATGGATGTTGGGCCACTGTTGGCCCTACGTTGGTAAAAATCACCGTTGGTTTTTGAACGTTGGGCCATCGTTGGGCCAGTGCTGACCTCGTGTAGTAATGAAAAGCATGTACGTTGCGCCAACGTTGGGCCAACATGTTGGGCCAACGTAGGGCCGATGAGCAAACTTGCATTGGGCCAACGTATGGTTGCCAACATTGGCCCAACGCAGTCAACAACTGTGCGCCAACGTTGGGCCAACGTAGTCATGCTATCTGGGGGGACCTCGGTTTATTCTGAAGAACTTGTCTCTATAGGTCCCACAGTGGGGTTCTAACGCGCGTTCGCCACATGAACGATTAGACCGGACCTGGGGTAATGGTAATGTGTAATGGTAATGCATTGTAATCATTACATTTTTTCAAAGTAATGGGGTGTAATGTGTAATGGATCCTTCTTTCAATAACAAGTAATTGTAATGTAATGCATTACTTGAAAAAATGTCTTTAATTACCAATTACTTTTCAATTACATTTCAATTGCATTTATTATGTTAGTCTCTTTTTATTTTTGAATCTGAAACAAATAAATATCACTGAGAAATTATTTTTTATTAATAATGTAAGAGTCTTAAAATTAAAATCCTTTATCATACAATATTTTCTATATTATTAAATGGCAATTGAAGAGAAACCAGAACCAGTGAAAAATATTACTTGTAATTATCACTTTTTGTTGTGTTATTTATGGCTTCGTAGTTTATGCCTGTTAAGCTTATTAGAAGTGCTAATTAATTCATTAAGTTTTTAATACTCCTAATATATTTATAGCATTATCTTTTAATAAAATATTATAGTAGGAAATGTTCAATAAATCATCTAGTACCGGGTAATTAAATAAACAAAAACAACAGAGAAACTAACATCAGATATTGAACAAAATACAACATTGAAAGTGTTCTGATCCACTTTCTTTGACAATGTAGATTGGATTGGTAAACTACATGAACATGATTCATGAATCCAAAATCCAAATACCACTCTGATTTATAGATCTGAGGGAAAGCATATTATCTAGCAAAAAGTGTGAATTTTTATTTATAGGTATAAATTGTGCGGTGATACGTTTTGTGTTTTTCTCTAATAAAATGTAATGTGTAATGTAATTAATTACTTTAACAAAGTATTTACTAATTGTAATTTAATTAATTACATTTCTAAATGAGAGTAATGGAAGTTGTAATCGTAATGATAAAAAGTCCAAAGTAATTGTAATGTAATGTATTACATTTCAAAGTAACTGTAATGTAATGAATTACATTTCAAAGTGATTGTAATGTAATGAATTACATTTCAAAGTGATTGTAATGTAATGAATTACATTTCAAAGTAATTGTAATGTAATCAATTACATTTCAAAGTAATTGTAATGTAATGAATTACATTTCAAAGTAATTGTAATGTAATGAATTACATTTCAAAGTAATTGTAATGTAATGAATTACATTTCAAAGTAATTGACCCCAGGTTTGGATAAGACCTTATGCAAAGGTTGAACTTTACTCACCATGTCGGCGTACTCGTTCTCCCCTAACCAGTAGGTGTGTTCCCCGCGGTCGGCCTCCTCGTTATGTTTCAGGATATAATGAACGTTATCCTCCCAAATCAGGTGCCTGTTAAAATAACAACAAAAGTTAATAAAAGTAGATGTATTGATAAAATCTTTGGGAAAGTTAGAAGGTTACAAAATATGATTTCATTTTAAAAAGTAATTCAATATATTAGGTTGATTTTCTTTACAAACAAGAGGCTCATGGGCCACATCGATCACCTAAGCACTGTGGCTAGGAAAATGTAGAAATTGGTTTATTAGCCTATTATAAAGTTTAGGATTTGCTATTCTTGAGAGGATGAATTTAATGAATTTTCTATATATTTCTTTGTAATTTTTGGTCAGCCACTTTGGCCCCGCCCTACCCCCTGGGGTCATAAGTGGCACAAACTTGAATTTACACTGTCTAAGAATGCTTCCATATAAATATGACCAAACACGGCTTTGCTATTCTTAAGAAGAAGATTTAAAATAATTTTCGTACATATTTCAATGTAAAACTTTGGTCGGCCATTGTGGCCCCGCACTACGCCCGAATGTCATGATGTGAACAAACTTGAATCTACACTACCTGGGAATGCTTCCATATAATTATGACCAATTATAGCTTTGATATGCTTGAGAAGAAGATTTTTAAATAATGTTCCTATATATTTCTATGTAAAACTTTGAAAGGCCCTTGTGGCCCCGCCCTACCCCTGGTGGTCATATGCATGATTTGAACAAACTTGAATCTACACCAACTTGGGATGCTTCCATATAAATATGACCAATCATGGCTTTGCTTTTCATGAGAAAAAGATTTTAAAATAATTTTCCTATATATTTCTTTGTAAAACTTTAGTAGGCCATTGTGGCCTTGCCCAGCCCCCGGGGGTCATGATTTGAACAAATTTAAATCTACACTACCTGAGGATGATTCAACATGAGTTGCATCTTTCTTGGCCCAGTAGTTCTTGAGAAGAAAATTTTTAAAAAATGATATTAATTTTTACTAATTCCTGATTTCACCCCTTGGAAGTGGGTGTTGCTCTTCATTTGAACAAACTTAAATCCCTTTTACCAAAGGATACTTTGTGGCAGGTTTGGTTAAAATTGGCGAAGTGGTTCTTGAGAAGAAGATGAAAATGTGAAAAGCTTACAGAGAGACGGACAGACAGACAAACAGACAGACGGACGCCGGAAAAAATGTGATCAGAAAAGCCCACTTGAGCTTTCAGCTCAGGTGAGCTAAAAAAATCATTTTTCGTTTCAAAACTGTTGTCAAATGTTTCATCATCAAGTCCCTTGGTAAGCCCCTACCTTACTTAATTTTAAGATTTTCATTGGTTGAAATTTAAAAACCTAGGGTATGAATAGGGAGTAGTCCTTATTCTTGCAGGGAGTTATCCTTTGAGTTAGAAGCCATTTTTGCTATTTTTCAGATGACTTTTTTTTTTATTCTGCCTTCAGATGAAAATATCTAGAGACTGCATTGTGGTACGTAATTAAACATTAAGCTCAGCATCTGGTTTAAGTAATTCCAGGAATTCTTTTCTACAAATTTGAAATTAGCTGACCTGAGAGCTTCTTCTTCCGGGGAGTAGATCTTTTTGTATTCTTGTTTGTACTGGAGCCAGAAGTAATCTAGATTGCTATCTAGATCTGTCTTGGAGATCGGTGTAGCGAAAGCTGCCACGAATAAACCGACGATCGCCAATAAAGCTCTCATCTAAAGTAGGAAAAAACTCAGCATTTAATGTTAAGTCTTACCTTGTGTAGCGATCTAAAGTGTAGATGGGGGATCAAAGGACCTGATAATTTATAAAGCAGGCGAAAAAAAAATATTTATTTTTTCATAGTTTGTTAAGGAGGCTAAAGGTCAACAAATTAATAGAAGAGACATGTATATAACTTATTTTTAGATATAATAACTTAAGTTGTCAGCTATTATTTGACAAAGAAAAATTTCCAAAAATATTGTTTTAAAATTCGATATTTTTTTGTAAATCATCATACATCCTCTATACAGAGTTGTTGTTCCCGCTACACCCCCACATGTACACATACACATGTATGTGGGAGCGTAGCGGGAACGAAAACTCTGAATAGAGAATAATCTTCATATGAAACTCTTCTTCCAAAGGAGATCAATACAGTCTAAAATGGTCATAACCTCCAGCCCTTTTCATTTGTCAAAAATTTAGAAATTATTAAAAAGAAGTTTTGAAGTCTTGGCAAAATATTTTCTGAGATCGACTCTCTACGTGAAAAAATAATTAATATTTCAACATTAGACAAATATATAAATTAAACTAATATGAATAAAATGTTTTGTTGTTAAAAGAATTGTTTCTTTTTTACTGTCTAGTGAATCCATGTGTTTCTCAGAGCTAAATTTCAGCAAATCTATAGAAAACTTAAAAAAAGGTAGGCTGAACTAGTATGTTTTTGATCAAACGATAAATGATTTATTACAATTAACTGTCCTTTTCATCAAATTTAACCATCGTTAAATATATTTACATTTACATCGTTCTGTTCGCATTTCGAGCTCGGCCAAATATTGATTCCCCAGGAAGAGAAAGTATTCCATTGACAACGAAAAACACAATAATTGTTTAAATTAAGGGTTTAGTTATATAAAATGTTAAGGCGTGTGTTCGAAACTGGACAACGCAGATCTGGAAAGTTACATTCCTGAGTATTTGAACGATTTCAATCATTTATAGTTTTTTAAAGCAAGTATAAAAATGGATCATCCGTGCAAAGCTTTTTTTTCTCTTCCTTTTTATTTTTTCAGATTTATTCGCGTATTTAATACATATTTTTCGCACATACTAAAAAGCCGTGTTCAGGAAAAAAATGTAATTTCTGTGTAAAAATATGCATGTTATATTTGAAGTATATATAGATTAAACTAGAGGTACTGTGAGGAATGAGCTCACTAAATGATACCCCCACCTCCCACAATGTCCATGTGTTGCTATATATTGTTTTACGATAGTGTGTAAATAGGAATAACTCCTATCAAATGTTATCCAGAAGCATCTATATGTGACGTCATAGGTAAATATAACATATAATGGCAATGTCCATGTTTTGCTATGGGAAACCTAAAACACCTGTCGAATAAAAAAGT